CATCAAGAAGACACTCAAATAGCCCAACAAAAGAACATCGGGAAGTCAAAACATCAATTACCGAGTCAAAAGAATTACGGGGAACAAATTCCCAACAACCAACATCATTGTACCCCGCGGGTGAGGCCACGGGTGGAACCCCAGCCGTGGTTCTGCCCGCGGGTACCACTGGCCAACCCACTTGTACCCCGCGGGTGGGGCAGCGGGTGGTGCACTACTCGCCGTTCCGCCCGCGGGTACAACTCTGTACCACAACTAATCCCTTCGGGGATTTTCAACACCAAGTCCAAATTCAAGTTCAAAACACCTAAAATCTCACAAAATACAACAACATAACTTGAATCAAAGAAATAGCCAAGCAATGGCATACAAGAACCCTAATAACAAGCTCAAGATATGCATTCTCACAAGACAATGCATCAAAACTCACATTTCATAGCAAAAATCACTTGTAGAAGTCAAGAAATCATCATATAGGTAAGAAAATAGATTTTGTAAAGCATGGGTTACCTCTTGTAGCCTAAACCTTCACTTATCACACCTTTACAAGCTTCTAACAAGGCTCTCCTTCAACTCCAACTTCAAGAACACACCAAAAGACAACAAAGATTCTATCTTTAGAAAAAGACACCTTAAAAGGTACTAAAAACACTAAAGGACCAAAGATCTTACCCTCCTATATGCTCAAGATTAAGAAAGGTTGAATCTTGGAGACCAACTTGAAGAATCTTGAATTGCCCAAACTTGGCTTGAAGAAGAAACTAGCTAATTTCTAGAGAGAAGGAGGAGCTTTTTCTTGTTAGGGTGTTTGGGAAAAGAATGAAAGATGACTCTAGGTTAGCTTGGGATACAATCATAAGGTGAAAAGTCTTCTTTACCCTTACTAAAGTGAAAAAGTGTAAGGAGACAAAGGAACAATTCACAAAGAATAGAGTACAACCCATTGACTTGGATTGACTAGTCAATTACTAGTCCTCCGACTATTGAATTTTCAGGATTTTAGGAATAAATTACCAATTAAGCTAGGATTAATTATCTAATTAATCCTTAAATAGAATTTGGATTTACAGGGTGTCACATAATTGACCTTGAAAAGAAAACGAAAATTACTTATTAATACTAGAAAAGGAAAATTAGAAAAGGAAATAGGAATTATTAATTGACTGCAAATAAAAAATAATCCCTATCCCGAACTTATAAAATGATAGGACTGAACTTAAGGCTTGCCTTTCCCCTGTGCACTACTCAAGATTCAAAAATCACATCCTCTCTCTAAGGTTATCAACATATGCGTATGCTTATGCTTTGATTCTTCAATTTCACAGAGTTTTCGTTGGATTTACTGATTTACACGAATTGAAGTCCAAACACAACCAGGAACAAGGTGTCTGTTAACGGTGAATTTTCAGGTTTTTTTTCCTTTCCGTTTTGCTCCAAATCATACTCTTTAGATTCATGTTCATTTGTCATTAAAAAAAAAAAAAAAAAAAAAGCGATCCGATCAATTGTGTTCCGAGCTTTGTTTTCTATGGTCTGATTAGCAGAAGCTAGCTTAAACGTTTTGAAATTTTTAATTTTGTTTGATCGATTATTGCAGCTGCATAAGCAAATTTGTTTAGGATGGAAAATCGACCTCAGATCCACACCAGCAACTCGGCACTCATTGCTATGATTGGTGATGAGGTAAAGGATGTTAACTCTAATTGATTTACTATACGATAAATTAAATGCCAGTTTTGTATGCTTTGTGCAAATATTGTGTTTTGGGGTTTAATTTGTGGCTTGACTTGCAACACTTTAGAATCAAATCATGATTTTTCTGTACTTAAATTGTATCAAAAATCACATTCTCTCTCCAATTTCTGAATTTCCCACATGTATGCGTATGCTTATCAGCGAGTCTTCTGTGTTCAGGAATTTCAAAATCGAATAGAAACTGTGCCACAACGTTGTACAAAGCTCATATATCCAACTTAGGGATGGAGTTTCGAACAATGATATCTCTGTAAGTTCTCTTCCGTGTATTTTTTTTTTTTTTCATTTTTAGTTCAAATTTATTCATACACATAGATAATTTGGTTGTGTGCATGCATGAATTGTTTTCATATATTGATTTTTTGAATTCGTCCACACTTTGGCAAACCAATGGTATTATATATATATATATATATATATATATATATATATATATATATATATATATATATATATATATATATATATATATATTATTTGAAGTTAAACTATCCCTTTGTGATGAATACGTACCTGTAATTGTGACAGGGGAGTGCAGAAGTGGAAAAATACTAACATAACTTATAGTTAGGCTGAAAATCACTGGAACAGATTAATAATTGACAGCATTTTACAAAATTGGGAAATTTACAACCATTTAAAAGAGGTGGAAGAATAGGGATTTCAACCATACAACTTGTGTTTTTCTTAATGTGGATCTATATATTTTAAATAATTTCGATTTAATAATATTATACCTCAATTATAAAAATAATACTTAATAATTTTAGTATTACATGACATACAATAATTACTATAAATAATGTTTAATAATTGACAATTTGTATTAGGCAATAAAAATTAATAATTAATTATTAAGTCAATTATAAAATCTTTTGTACTGTGGACACATTATTTTTAATTATTTCAGTTTAACAAAAAAAATTCTTTTAGTACTATTGATGTAAATTATTAAGGCAATTAATAGGTATTTTGCTTTAAAAAGTCTTCAAATGTATGAATTATAGTAACATGGAATCAATTAGTAGGACAATTATATTAAGAAATCTAATTAATAATTTATTTTTTAAATTATATCCTCTTTTTAATAATGAATATTTTCCTAAAGTATATACACTTATCAATATAGAATTAAAAGTGTGTGTGTGTGTGTGTGTGTGTGTGTGTGTGTGTATGTATATGTATATGTGTGTGTATGTATATATATATATATATATATATATATATATATATATATATATATATATATATATATATATATATATATATATTATACTTAATGTATAATATTATTAGTACAAAATAAATTATACTTTTCTTAATAATTAATTATTAATATTATTATCTAATAATTATTTATTAACATATAATAGCTTACAAAAATAATTATTAACTGAGAATAAAAATGGCACAGAATTTAGGCCAATTGAAACAGGAAATGACTATTAATAATTGACAGAAAATTAAAAATGCTTCCAAGCTGATTCAGTACACGGAAAGAATATTAATCTCGATTATATATTTTATAAAATGTAAAGTTACTGGAAATATAAAAAAATTGTATATATATGTTACTGGAATATAGTTATGTAAAGATATATATTTAAAAATAAAAAATGGAATAGAATCGTTTAGTATCCACAATTTATAAGGAAAATTTTGTAATTTAAGATGGAAAAGGTTTTGCAATACGAGATGTAAATATAAGGTTTAGTCGAGATGGAAAGAATATTAATCGAGATGAAAATTAATAATTTTTACACCAAATGTTATTTTATAATAAGAATATAAGGATTGTATAAGGTTTAGCCGAGATGGAAAAAAAATATTAATCTCGGTTATATATTTTATAAAATGTAAAGTTACTGGACATATTAAAAAAAAAATCTATCTATCTATCTATATATATATATATATATATATATATATATATATATATATATATATATATATATATATATATATATATATATATATTACTGAAAATATAGTTATGTAAAGATATATATATTTACAAATGGAAAATTGAAAAGAATCATTTAGTATCCACACTTTAAAAGAAAAATTGTGTAATTAAAAATGAAAATGGTCTTGCAATACGTATGAATGATTCAAAAGAAATTAATTATGCCTGATTTTGTAGCACATCTTTATCCAAAATTATGGGACCTCATTAAAATACGTATATATAAAGATGTGTAATTATGTATAGAATGTATAAGGAAGATTTTGCTTAAAGATGGAAAACAAATTAGACGAATTGAAAAAAGGAATAAATATTAATAATTCACTTAAAATTAATATGATCCCATTCACTGAACATTGATATTTAAAATCTCTACAGTTTCAGCACCAATGCGTACATCTACACATTGACTATTAATTGGGCAATTATTTGCTCGAATTTAAGCAATGATAACATCAGAAAATACAATCAATCCAACTCAATTCTTCAATTGTATTATATAATATTCGATGTAATAATTTATATAATTGTATATCGATCTAAATATTCTTAAAATATTTTAACAAATCTATTTCGTGCATTGCATGAGCGAAAATATTAGTTATAGTTAAATGGCAAAAGTAGTAAATATACATCATAATCTAATAATACCTAAGAAATGTGAGGAATCACATTCCCTTCAAAATCTTATGTGCAGGGTATGTTAGTATGTTACATTCCTAGGAGAAAGTAATCCCTTAAAAAAGTAAGATAACTTGAACCAAACATGAAAATGTGACATTTCAAAACTCACATAACCTTAGTTATGTTATATAACTTGAGTAGAATGGAAGCAAAGCATAAAAGGTGAACATGCTTTGTGCTACTGTTGACCGATTTACGATATCATCAACCAAATCATCGTCGTGAAATATTACTGAATGCTCATTTGAAAGATGGAAACTCAATCGCTCAATAGATGAATTTCTAAATTGTATGTCAATTAATTGAAGACCGTAAGACCAACAAGTCGTCGAAAAAGACGACCAAACCGGTCACCTTCTCCATTGTTGAAGTCCGTCAATTGGAGATGGTGACCAATTGGTTGCCTTTTTCGCCTTCTCCAATTGACAGAGAAGGTGATCAGTCTTGTCGCTTTTTTTAGACCGCCCCGCTTAACATGGGGGATTATTATTATTATTATTATTATTATTTTATTTTTTAAAAGGTAAAAAAATAAAAATAAAAATTTAATTAAGCGTCAAAACTTAAAGAATACAGAGAAATTCCCTTCTGCCGCCCCTACCCTAAATACCTAATTCCGATTCTGCCGTTTCTGAGATTTCTCCCAGACAGCCGACGCAGCGATTCTCCCAGGCTCCCAGCGACGGCCGACGAGCACTCCAGCAGACAGCAATCAGTGACCTTCTCCGGCGACGCATCGTATTCGTGAACCACCAGCCACCAGTAAATTAATTTAATTAATTGATGATTTTTTTTTTTTATACGGATAGTGCTGTTAGCTGTAGACTGTAGTGCATATAGAACATTAATACATCCATTACATTGTAGGGTTGATCTTCTCTAAGTGAAGAGAATATGGCGTGTACCATTGATTTTAGGTGCCTGGATGAGGGCTTCGGAGGCAAAACTTACAAGCGAAAGAGGGCAGAGAAGGAAGCCCCCGGCGATGTATCGGAGGAAGACGCGGGCACCATGGAGGTGGAAGAGGAAAGCGGCCCCCCTCCGTCGAAAAGGCAGGCGGTCCCTTCTTCTGAGGATCCGAACAGGCCGACGTACGACGGTGTTATAGCGGGGAAGGTGTCAGGTAGGAAGTGGAAGCAGGCACGGACGCACAGGTCGTCGGCGGTGCAGGTGAGCCGGAAGGGGAAGACGCTGGAGCAGAGGGTGAAGGAGAAAGAGATAAAGAAGGCGTACAAAGAGAGAATGAATGAACTGAAGGAGGAGATAAGGCAGAACAAGATAGAGAAGCGGCAGAAGAGGGAGGAGAGGGAGAAGAGGAAGAAGGACAACATTCTCAAGTCTGGTACCAAGTTTCAAAAGATCACCAACCCTAAGACTCTTAAGAAAATTGCCAAATCTGCCAAGCATAAGAAGCTCCTCAAGGTTGTTTCCGATGATCTTCTTAAGTAGTAGCATCTCTTTGCCCCTTTACTTGTGCTTCTTATACCTTCCTTTTCATTATAGGTCTCTGGAAATGGTATGATTTTATTTCAATTTCAATTTCAATTTCAATCATGTAAACTGTGTTTCAATTCTTGTTCTCTCATTATATAGTATAGGGCCAACAGGACTAGTGTTGAGAAGAGGATTATTAGTCTACAATTTTAAATGCTTCAAACTGAAGCTCTTGGGCATGTTGTGTGCTATATTCACAATTTATTACTTCGTTGTCTCATTTTATGTATTTTTTATTCAAATTTTCATAATATTAAGTTTAGTATTGCAAGTGTGTTAAGTTGCTCTCCCATATTTTAGGTTGTGGGTTCCTCAGTGGAGGCAGGTTGTGCACTTGGATTGTGTACTTTAGTAGATTGGTAAAGTAATTATACTTTAGTAGATTGGGAAAGTAATTATGAACAAATACAACATTGTATCAGAGTCGATAGTACTTGAAAAAAAAAAAAAAGTAATAAAGAATTTGCTTGACCAATAAATAGTAAATATAACAAATAAAATGGGACCGAGGGAGTATCGGCTTAACCGATGTCCCTCACAAAGTAACACACAAACTATGACATCAAATTAGTACATTAAAAATCTAGCAAATGCAATGATTCTACGGTAACACTGCTATGCTTAGAGTAGTTGTACTTCTTTGTACACTTGAAACTACTACAAAGTGTTTGCTGCATCTGTTGATCTAGCTTCCGAATTAACTGTCAAATGGCATTCCCGTTTGGACGGGATGTGTTCACCTTGTTCCCCGATTTAGCACACAAAAACAACTTGGCAGTTTCTGTAAAGACTAGCATTGCAAAGTAGGGAATTTTATCTGTCATCATATTCTTACGCCTCAGCCTCAGATTTCAGGGGATGTTTTACACAAACTAGATCGTCCAACTTATTGCCATCCATTTTGTACATAGAGACACCTTCCATCTGAATAAAGTGTTGCCTCGTCTCTTCGCTCAGGTTCTTGAAAGGCAGAACTTCCCATTTACTGTATTTCGAATTCTTCCTCACATCTGTCATGTCTGGAGATCCAGATATCGGTCCGCTCCCATATGGACCTGCATTGCCCCACACCTTACAGTTCACAAACTGTCCCAATCCTCCCACTTGATCAACCGCACTTCTTTTCAATTGCAAAGCAGCTTTCTGAGCCCTGTTTATCATTTCTCGACTAGGAACATCTGACCAGTCTTGCTTCCTTTGTGCTCTCATGAGAGAATGGATCCGAATAACCTTTACAAGGAAAATCCTTGGTTAGAAGAATATTGGATGATAACACATTTCATTAAAAAAAAATTACAGCTTTGAGCAATGAAAATGCCCTTACACCAAGACATTCCAAAAGTTGGTAGTATGCCCTCCCTTGAAGTGGGTTGTGCCCTTTCCTTGGTGTAGAAAAGTACCGAGTCCTACAAAATACAGAGTATCATTTACAAGTGATAGATACAAAAAAACCAATTCATTGCACATCTGTCATCAAAGTAAAAGTTGAGTAATGACTAATGAAGAAGATGATAAGAAGGCAACAACCAAGGAGGTATTCACAAAAATTTCCAAAACAAATCTGTAACCCTTAACACTGTAATTGCAAATTACCATTCCATATAACTAGGATCAACTCTGAAACCATAATAGCAACAAATGATAAAAGTGTTTTGGGAATACAAAGTGTTACACCTATTTGCATAAATAGCCATAACTCCCAAGTGAAATCAATAAAAAATAAGCTCTCTTCTTCATCAATATATTATTATCCTTTCACTACATAATTCCACAACTTACCACTCTGTATAACCAGGATCAACTGTGAAACCATATATGTCAACAATGTCACACATGGAAAGCGCTAGTTCTATTGATTTCATTCCAGTTCCTTTAGCACCTCTGCGCAAGACAATACCTTGGAAGAGGTAAACTGGATTTGGTAGGCGCTGCCAACAAGGGAAAACATCAAATTGGCATCCTAGCCTTTTGTTCAGATTGGCTTTCAAGTTTAAAAATCAAGGGTCTTGATGAAAGAAGACAAAAAAAGATGACATAAAGAACATTGTACATCCAAGGAAAACTATTACCTTTATCATTGTATTGAAGTCTCTGTGTGTAAGACTTTTAATTATAAGCACCTCATCATCTGCAATGAATTAAAAGGAGAAAAAACAGTGGCCCAGATCATCACTGAACTAACTTTATAAGACGCAGACTTACCAAGCATAAAGCAGCTAAATTTTACTGAAGTAGCATGTAATCAAGAATATTTCAGAATCATTGCTATCTATTAGACTTAGTTATCAGTTTAAGTTTTTTGAAACTCCAAATAAGAAAACCACCACATCTTGAGAGAATCAGTAGTATTACTGGTGAAGGCTAGTTTTACCAGACTGCTGCAGATGATTCTCACATGCACTACATACCATGTGCACTGTTGTTGATGATAGGTTAGGGGCTCTCAGTATTCAGTTCAGAAACAATGAATTTGGTTTTGCTTCTTGTTTGGTTTAGGTAGTATATTCTAAAATCTCTTAAGACTAGGGCTCATCTGGGATTTTCTGTTTTCCTGTGTGGGGTGAACCACCTTGGTTCTTTTAATAAGTATCTTTACCTGTTGACACACACAACAAAGAGGAAATTCTCCACTCCACTAGATGGCTTCTGGTTCTCTTCTTTCCATTCTACTCTCCTCCTGTTCTCCCTTTTCCCATTTTGGCCTCAGCTTTTTCTGCTCTCTTCTTATTCTTCTTGGTTTTGCAATATTTGGTTTAGTTATTAATCTGCAAATTTGTTTTATATGGTTCTCTGATACGATCCCACATCGGCTCCACAAGAGATTGTAGAGTGGTACTTAAGTTGGGGCTAAACCTCCACTCATGAGCTAGCTTTTGTGGTGGAGTTAGGGTCTTGGCTTGAGTACCGTATCATTTGGTGCTCTCGTTGAGAGGCCGGAGTGTGGTGGGAAAGGGCTACCTGGAAGAGGGCTACCCGGTGCTTGATAAGGTTCAAAGGAAACCGAGAAGAGTCCGGAGTGAAAGCTATCCAGAGTGAAGCCGTCCACTCATCCGGTGCCGGCCTAGCGGAGGGGGCGACCTAGAAAAGGGCTACCTGGTGCTTGATAAGGTCCGGAGTGAAGCCATCCAAGGGGGAAAAGGGCTACCTGGTGCCGAGAAGAGTCCGGAGTGTGAGCCGTCTAGAGTAAGCCGCCGCGGACGTCGGCTTCTCAAGGGTGGGTAATGATACGATCCCACATCGGCTCCACAAGAGATTGTGGAGTGGTACTTAAGTTGGGGCTAAACCTCCACTCATGAGCTAGCTTTTGTGGTGGAGTTAGGGTCTTGGCTTGAGTACCGTATCATTCTCTTGCTTTGATTTGATTGTGATGTGGAGATTGCTTGTTGCTGGTTCTTGAGAGCCCAAAACCAAATTACAAATTGATACAAACAGAAAATCTTGATCCAATCTTATTTGATTCTCTAGAATCCAGAAATGAAAATTTTGATACTGAACCAAGAGTCAATTTGATTCAGAACACATGTATACAATAATGTTATTGAGTAGTGAGTAGTGAGCCTAAGCCTCCAATTATAAAAACATAACTGACTGTCATCTTACTGAGCCATGTTGCTTTAACCAATGATATATTCAGTCAACAGGTGAGCACTTGACCACTACACTAAACGTGCACTTCATACCTGACTCATGTTACTAAGTGGGCTCATTCAATTACTTATATTTCGATAGCATGTAAAGTTTTAGGCATCATTGTTTAACATGGGGAAAAGAAAGGAAAATACTAAAGCAGCAATCTAAATGCAAACTAATTTGATAATAATATAACTTACCTGACCCATTAAGAATTGGAATCATGTTACGAGCAGCACCTCTCACAACCAAGCGAAAATCCCGCTTCAGACCAACATACTTGGCATATTTCTGCAAGATATATGCAAAAGAACAAAACAAATTAGAATTTCACCTAAATGTTTGATATACCATTGGTAAAGACTATAGAGTTAAAGACATAAGAAAACCTAAAATACTAATTAACTTAGACAAATTAATACTAATCATTGGAATGGGAACAAGATAGTATCTTATGGTGTCTTACTACATGCTGATGATAGGTATTAAACTTATTTGAAACACTTCATTCTTGGGTCAATGAAAGAACTGTGAAAGTCATTCCCCATTACAAGGATACACAATCTTACAAAGAAAAAGAAGATCAGTAAAGAATAGAGGTCCCTACTGCCAGTACAAAAATCTTATTATGACTTATTATGGGAAACACCACCAGAAGTATGGCACTACCTCGTTAACAGGAGCTTCGTTGTCTCTTATAACTGCATCGTGACTATCAATTTCCGGTCCAAACTCTGTCTTCAAGAGGTCACCTGAATTCCCAACAACAGCACATGTTCGAAACTGTCTGGGGTGAAAGGGTGGCTGTGCAGGTAAAATTAAATTAAGATGCTCCTCACAAAGAGTCCGGTTGTAGCATTTGTCAGCGCCTCTACAATTAAATTAAAGAATGAATAGAATAAGTATTGCAACAATTAGGGGGAAATTAAAATGGGATTACTGAAAGATGGAGTTGAAACATACAATTGTGCTATCCTTTTTGCTGCATAGTCTAACCATCCATCAGGCCTAGCATCCAGATATTCTCTTGTCAACACAGTGGTCATGTTACGATACTGCATTTCAAATTACCTCATTTTATTTAAGCTAATAGCTGTAGTGAAAGTTAGGAAACAACTAGGACAAACCTGTTCCCACAACAGAATAGCCTCACAAACATCATATTTGTACTCGAGGGGTTCAAAAATCTTGAATTGCTCATTGTACTGCAAATAAATGTTGTAAATTATAGAGGGGATAGTTAAGGAGACAACCGGAGAAACTACAGGTAGAGACATACCCAAGTGCTATTTGTTCCTTCAGGGAATTTGAGAATTATATTACAATGATCAATAATATGAGCTGTAAGCCCAAGCCCTCTATTTGCCTAACAAAAAATCAAAGTCAGCATCAGCATCAAAGCACATAACGCTGCCAAAGGCAATCTCCATACCGGCAGTGCACTACCCAAATTGAAATTTTACAAGAAAATCAAGGATCAAAGGCATAAAAATCAATCAAAAAGGAAATGACATGCAAAGTTAGGGAGAAGCAAGAAAATTCGCATCAACAACGA